CTCCCCTCCCCCTACCGCATCCCAAAACCAGCCCAGCTTGTCCCCCCCTCCCTGACCTGTTCTTCCTCCCATCTATCCCCTACTCCCACCTCAAGCCCCACCCCCATCTCCTACCTACTAACCTCATCCTGCCCCCTTGACCTGTCCGTCCTCCCTGGACTGACCTATCTCCTCCCTACCTCCCCACCTACACTCACCTTTACTGGCTCCATCCCCGCCTCTTTGACCTGTCTGTCTCCTCTCCACCTATCTTCTCCTCTATCCATCTTCTATCCGCCTCCCCCTCTCTCCCTATTTATTTCAGAACTCCCTTCCCCTCCCCCATTTCTGATGAAGGGTCTAGGCCCAAAACGTCAGCCTTCCTGCTCCTATGATGCTGCTTGGCCTGCTGTGTTCATCCAGCTCTACACCTTGTTATCTCAGATTTTCCAGCATCTGCAGTTCCTACTATCTCTGATTCAGTCTTGACAGTCTGTTTGTCCTGGGGCTGTTTCTGCAATAATAAGTGATCAGTACTAGTTTGGGGAAAAATTACGACTATGGTATCCCAACCATCTCCTCACGTGGTTATGTTTATTTTCTGTGTCATTTTTGAATGGTTTAAACCGGAAAGAAGGAGGTGTCTCTGCTACTGGCTCAGCGTCCAGTTCCTGGAACTTCACCTGTCCTTTTCTGCTTAGAATCTTTACAGCGCGGAAGCAGGTCATTCGGCCCATCAAATCCACTCCGACCCTCCAAACAACATCCCACCCAGACCCAGACCCCCACTCTATCTCTGTAATGCTGCATTTCTTATGGCTAATCCATCTAGCCTGCACATCCCTAGACACTGTGGTCAATTTAGCATGGTCAACCCACCTAGCCTGCACATCTTTCGACTGTGGGAGGAAACCAGAGCACTTGGAGGAAACCTATGCAGACATGGTGAGAATGTGCAAACTCCACACAGGCAATGCCTGAGGCTGGAATCGAACGCGGGTCCCTGGTGCTCTGAGGCAGTAGTGCTTACCATCTGAGTCACCATGCCACCCCTACTTGCTTGTTGCAAGTAAACAGGAGACTCCACAGTGCTATATGCACAGCAAATAAATATTGCACAGCAGATCATCAGCCTCTGCCTCAAAATCTTAAGTGGCAAGTAAAGTAATATGAATTCTTGCATTCAGACTCGATTTCTGTCTCTAACAGGCTGTTGAGTTCCAGAGTTTACTCTGTACACTGGCAGTACAGGGTAGGTAGGTAGTATCAGATGTACAGTACATAATATTTAGCACTGAAATTTATCTAGGCACTGTGCTAAGACACCGCCTATTTCAGGGAATTGCAATGAGAATGTATTGATAAGACAGTGTTTTGCCTTGGAATGCATCTCCTGATGTCCCTTTACTCAATGTGGATTTACAATGATAGAAAAGTTTCCTTCAAACACAGAGAATGCTGGAGAAACTGCACAGGTGTGGGGCAAAAGAAATAAAGATAGGCTTTCAAGTCCAGAAGGATTTCTTTACTGAGCTCATAATTTTTAAATGATGCTGAGAAAATAAATGGAGTATAAGATTCTTGATATTTGGATATGATTGGGAATAATTAATTGCACTTAAAATGACAGTTGAGTGTGAAATGTTGCACATAACAATCTGAAAGTTTATGTTTATGGAATCTTTTCAATCAGAAGGCTGAAGT